AATATATTTGGATATATTTAAGTAAATATATTAAAAAACAATGTATATACCTCAATTAAAAGGTACCTTATAGCTCAAAAATGCTAATGATCATCTGAGTCTTCAGTGAGTCACAATCTTTTTGCTGGTGGAGGGTCTGATGTTGATGGCTGCCGACTGATCAGAATGGTGGTCACTGAAGGTTAGGTCGTGCTATAGTTTGATTTGTCTATCCCCTCCAAATCTCATGTTGAAATCTGATCCCCAGTTTTGAAGGTGGGGCTTAATGGGAGGTGTTTGGGTCATAGGGGCAGATCCCTCATCAATGGCTTGGTGCTTTCCCCAGGTAATGAGTGAATTTTTGCTCTATTAGTTCCTAAGAGAGCTGGCTGTTAAAAAGAGCCTGGCACCTTCCTCCCCTTCTCTCTTGCCTCCTCTCTGTCCATGTAATCTCTGCACACCCCAGCTCCCTGTCCCCATCCACAATAAGTAGAAGCAAATTTTATGCTGCTGCTACCATCTTCTACTACGGTTTTTTTTAATTGTTAAATGTGTGCTTTTGTCAGAAACAATGCTGGTGGGACACCATGATCGTGAGTAAGGCATTCTGGGAGTCCACAGGTGGTGGTGGTGCTAGCAGGAGCCTTGCATGGAGGGCCAGCACATGCTTCTCAAGTATCTGTTCTGGAGAAGACACATTGCTGCTCTGTCCATGATGGAAATAGTCCAAGGTCACCAATTTGTTCCCAGGTAGGGCTGGATCTCCCAGGAACTAGTGCCAATTGGGACTACCTCATTAGCTTCTGTTATTGGCAGTGTGGACTTTCAATAGTAGTGGTAGCCAGACTGGCTTTGTGAGGGGAAGTACACAGTTGCTGAGCCCATGCATGGCCTTCGTCTCCGCCACATGGCTGCTTTGTACATACATCTCTTGAGCAAGTGTCCAGTGGCCAGGGAAATAGGCTGAAATTATTTATTGAGTCCTTTCTGTCTGCAGAGTCTGTGAGAGTTCATGAATCTTAACAACACTTCTGCGGAGTAGGTATTGTCATGTGAATTATGTATATGTTGGATCACCTTTCCCTGTCTTCTACATTTGCTCTAATTTGTCACTTTTTCTCTAATCCTTTTTTCTCCCAATTTTTTTTATTGTGGTAAAATACATGTAACATAAAGTTTACCATCTTAACTACTTTTAAGTGTGCAGTTCAGAGATAAGTACATTTATATTGTGTACAATCTCTCTCTAATCCTTTTAATTTCTTTTTTTTGCTATTTCCGTTTCCTTGGACTTCTTTTGTTTCTTTTCTCTAGACCCCTGATCATTTGTTTTGTGTGTGTGGCATCTGCTCCCCTGTGTACTCCTTGTAATTTAGTCTTTATTTCTGAGACGATTTCTGCGATTTCTCTTTCAGATACTCCTATTGTCTAGTTAAAGTCTTCTTTTACTTCTGTTTTATGATGTTATTTTATAGGTATATAATTAAGAAAACTATGTTGGGGCCAGGCACGGTGGCTCACGCCTGTAATTCTAACACTCTGGGAGGCTGAGGAGGGCGGATTGCTTGAGGTCAGGAGTTCAAGACCAGCCTGAGCAAGAGTGAGACCCTGTCTCTACTAAAAATAGAAAGAAATTAGCCAAACAACTAAAAACAGAAAAAATTAGCTGGGCATGGTGACGCCTGCCTGTAGTCCCAGCTACCTGAGAGGCTGAGGCAGGAGGATCGCTCAAGCCCAGGAGTTTGAGGTTGCTGTGAGCTAGGCTGACGCCATGGCACTCTAGCCTGGGCAACAGAGTGAAGACTCTGTCTCAAAAA